TTGTACATATTACTAAAGAATCTTACCTGGAAATCATCTGGATCCAAGTGGCAAAGGAAATTTCTTTACGTCTTCGGTGGCGATTTGATAATTAGTGCTAATTTTAATGAGAAAATTTCATTGGAAATTTCCCAATGAAAAGCAATTTTTTCGCATTTTTTATGATGAAGCTTACTAGGAAATCCTCTGGTCCCTTCTGTGGCGATTTGATATCTAGAGCTTATTTTAAACAGAAAATCTCATCGGACTTTTCTCCACCAAAAGAACATTTTTCTTTTTCCTGAAGAATCTTACTTGGAAATCCTCTGGGTCCAACTGGGCCAGTAATTTTTTTTGCGTGTTCTGTCATGATTTTTTAATAAATGCTCCAATTTTAAAGAAAAAAATTCCTTGCGTTTTCTGTGGCGATTTGATATTGAGCGCTTATTTTAAAGATACATTTCCATCGTTCACTTTAAAGAGAAACTCTCATGGCAGTTTTCTCTACCAAAATATTTTTTTCGTTTTTTCGTGAAGAAGTTTACAAGGAAGTCCGCCAGGTCGGACTGGTCCAGGAAGTTTTCTCGCCTTTTCTGTTACGATTTAATACTGAGTACTTATTTTAAAGGGAAAATCCCATTGCACTTTAATCATTGAATTTTTTTTCCGGAAAAATCTTACCTGTAAATCTTCGATTTCCAGTCTAACTGTTCCAGGACATTTATTTGCCTTTTATTTTACGTTTTGATAGTGTGTGCTGTTACTTTAAATGGAAAATCTCATTGGACTTTTCTCCACCAAATGAACATTTTTGTTTTTTTCTCATTTTTGAACTTTTTTCATTCAACATTTTTTTTTGCTTTTTCCTCAAGAATTTTACACGAAAATCCTCTAGGTCCAACTGGTCCAGGAAATTCCCTTGCCTTTCCTGTAACGATTTGAAAATGAGTGCTTATTTTGAAGAGAAAATCTCATGGCACTTTCCCCTTGAAAAATATTTTTTTGGTATCTCCGGAAAAATCTTTCCCAGAAATCCTCTAGGTCCACGTGGTCCAGGAAATTTCCTTGCGATTTCCATTACGATTTGATAATGATTGCTTGTTTCCGTACCAAAACCGTTTCAGTATCAAAACCATTTTTGTCCCCTTTTTTTCTGAAGAATTTTACCTGGAAATCCTCTAGGTCCAGCAGGCCCAGGCGGTCCAGGCGGTCCGATGGGTCCCGGTGGTCCGGAAGCAAAGCTCGACAATCGAATGGCTGTGCTCAAAGCTGAAACCTTCGACAGTTTGCTTAGTTGCGATAGTTTCATAATTTTACAAAGCCACCGCATGCACTCCTTCCTACCTTTTCCTGCAAGTTTTTGAGTTTTTCGTTCAACCTGACGAGACTTTCGCAGTTTGCAAAGCATCGGTTTGAATGGGCCGCCATCGCGCTCCCCAATCTCTCCTCCATGTCCCCGTTATTCCTGCCATTGTCGGTCGGTTTTTCACAGGTCCTGTTGTCTGCCCTTAAGATATATCCTTCGTCGCAGGAACAACGATAACCGCCTATCTCGTTCCTGCACCTGTGTTCGCAGTCTCCGTTTCGGTCCTCGCATTCGTCTATGTCTACAAGCAAGATGGATTAAAAGATCTGATTGTGTGAACTGATACAATTTAATGAAGGGTCCCATTCTAGACGGGGGGTCAATCCTAGTGCGATGTTGATAAGAGCGTTTCAGCCTAGAATGTGGTCTCCTCCGAAAGAAAAGCGGAGATAGTGTGCTTATGATTTAAAGAAAAAGGATTCGGGGGCACCACAAATGTGCCCGCTATTTTCATAAATGTAGGGTTTTAATGTTCATTGGCGAAATGGTTTTATTTCACTAATTTTACTCTCACGTTGTGCATAAGACTCGGATATCCAGAGAAATTTTTATTCATTTTTCCCCAGTCAGACTATCAACAAGTTTTCATATTGCCGTCGGTGTTCTTTGTACTGTTTTTCCAAGTTCAAACTCAATAGCCCGAGGTTCAATTGCATGCATGCAGTTAAGTTAATCAAACACTTTCCACACAGAGGCAATAACAGCTATAAAACTATTGTTTGCACTTTTGCCTTACACAAGATTTGCCTTTCCAAACAAAACTGACGAGTTTGGCCCTCTGCCAGTTTGCGTTCTTTTGCATTGTTCGTCGGTAAACTTTTTCGTTTGCACTTTATGGCTAACCCAGATGTGGCCAATTCGCCCTGTTATGTCTCTCTTGTGCTGCTTTAAAATATTCGATTTGCCGGCTTTTATGACACTCCTTAGTTTATTGGGAATATTGTCTGGATTCAGCAGAGATTTATCAAATGCTTTATTTCGGCTCTGTCGATTGCGTGTTTCTCGAAAAAACAGACTTGTGCATCTGAACTGTACAAATCACCACCTTTAATCAGGCTAAATTTTAAAGGTTGCTTTCATTTTCATGGATAATTTTGCCCCTCAAAACGCGCCAGTATTTACAAACCAATTAACCTTTTTCTGTTACGCATCCGACCATTTGTTCTCAGTGTTATCAAAATCGCAGAAAGAGGAATAAATTGCGCTGTCTTTGGCCACAATTTAATCGTCTTAATCTTGTTCAAAGGCTTATGAATTTTATGTGAAAAGTGTTTTTGGTAAACGCCCCAGGTCACATAGGGCACGTATATGGCCTTTTAATTTCCCAAGGAACGTTAGTGTTTATGAAGGCAATATATTTGCATTTTATGCTACAGCATTCCTTACCTACACACACAGGTTTGATTCCTCGTCTTTGGTTTTCCGCACTGAATTTGTATCCTTCGAAGCATGTGCAGATCACTCGTTGTAGGTAGACGCTACAACGCTGTTCGCATAAGCCCAATTTGCAAGGATCTTCGTCTTTGGGCATACATCTAAAAATTTGTCGATAGGAATTCAATTTTTCATCAAACTGAATGAGCAAGACTAAGACCAAGACTTGCGTGTTCTTGGTGTTGCTCTTGCACAGAGACTTTTGCTCTTAGTCTTGTTAGTATTGCCTTTAACTAGGACGGCCAATTAAATGAAATTAATTTAATAGTAACAACAATAATAATTAAAGGATGTTTTTACGTTTTGATTGGGTTGAGAGTTTTTTTTGCAAAAAGTTCCCGTGCATTGGGTTTTTTGAAAATTCATTTCTTCGGAGCAGTGAGAGCTAGCAGTTTTATTTTTCCGTCGTCCTTTAGAGCAAGAAGAGGACTTTTTAGTAATTTTTCCACTTTCTTCATATTCTATAAATTACCTGCCATTGATAAAAGTGAAGTCATTGCAGCAATGCTTCCGGGTGCAGTCCACCCATTTTCCTTTAACGTTGCATTGGTATCGGGATGTGATGATGTTGCTGGAGGGGCACTCGAGAGTGTCTAGCCTGAAATAAGCAGATAATTACTTTTTGCAGCATGTTTGAAGTGTTAACGTTTTAACCAAATGGGCCCCAAATTGTTATTAGAGCAACGTCAAATATTATAGTGGTCGTTCGCTATACGAAAACTAATTTTGGAACAGCATTAAGAATTTGCGCTGTTTAGTAGTTTTAAAATGGTCCCCGTTGCAAAAGTCTCTAATTGTCTGAATGCATTTGGTTAATTTGGGTTTCAGTTATTCCGGTTCGAATGGACAATGTTGGTTGAAAGTGTGGAGACAAAGGATGAATGATGCGAAACTCAATGAGACTCTCATGAGACAATTTCATAGAAGCTTTGCACTAAATGCATATAAATTTGAAATCGACTGAGCAAGAGACTTATTAAATTTTTTCAACTTATAACGAATTGGTTAAATTGTAATCTTCGAGTAACCGAGGGTTCAGAGTGAAAAACGTTTGCTCCCTTTAAAAAAACATTAAACGCTGCGTTATAAAGCCAGAAGCTCCAACATGCTTTTACAAGTTTGTGACGCTTAAATAAAATAATAAATTATTAAACAATTAATAAAAACGCTACATAAAAACACCAAAAAAGGTGAAGGGTCTATCTACACAAAACGCATAAAACTAGGTTACATTCGCCTTCAGAAAGCCACGAGCTTACAGTAGTCAAATTAGCAAAAAGTGCCCCATACTCATACCACGTCCTGAACAGACTACGGAATTGAATTTTGCAATTCTGGCACCTTCTACAAAAATGTCAGCAATAAACAAACTGAAGTCGGAGTGCCAAGCAAGAGCATAGCAATAAATCTTCGAAATGGTAAACATGCAAATGATTTATTCTGATCTTCGGCGTATTTTCTTTTCGAAAAGGTGTATGAATATTCAGTTTGCTACCGACAGTGGACGGAATAAGCCGATAATACTTTGTATCGTGTGAATCGCGTTCACATCGTAGTTTGTGAAAGTGTAGTGAAAAATTAGAAGAATAATGGGTAGAAAATAGAGGATGGGGCGCCGGCTTGCATAAAGCTGGCATGAATGATCCCCACTCTATAAATCTTTTAGCTTGAATTGAGTTTAGTTTCCCGGCAAGCATCTGAAGATTTATGAGTTATTTATATTTTCGTCTCGTTGTTTTGCTGATTTGAAATGAGTTTCGCTATGGACAGATTTCCTGCTGTACACATTTTCTTCTTTTTTTTTCAAAGTTGCACTACGCAGCTTTCGGTAAACGTAGCATTATTTTGCCGTGGTTGCCATGTACATTTACACTTACACCGTTTCAAATATGGAAATTTGAGTTCCAGTATTCAATAGAATAAGCTTCATCTTACCGATAGTGTGGATTTGGTTCCGACTAAACTATTTATTTACTGACTGAAGCATGACGCCACTTTTTTGACGTTGATCAAGAAGCGTTTGAGCCACAGAGTTTATTTTTATATCCATAAATAGAGAATTGGTTAGTGATGAGCGAGACAAGTCTTCTCTTGGTCTTTTCTGGTCTTGCAAAAAATGCAAGGCCAAAACCCTTTGAATCCTTGCCTTTGATTTGCCGTTTAACAGTCAATCTTCAGCCATTTTCTTCAAGCGTTCGTTTTTTTAAGTAAGAAATTAAATTTAAAACAACACCAGCGACAGAAGCCAAGGCGAGGAATACAATAGAAGAGGCGGGTGGCCGGTGGTGATGGCGTTGGTGCATAGTAGGAATTCTAAGCGACGTGAACAAAGTTGTTCTTGGGTGAGGCCATTTTTAAAGCAAAGACAGTAATTTTGTATCCCTGCTTTTGGTATAAAACATTTTTTCTTAGAAATTTGCTATAGGCAGTTTTTTAACCGAACCGTCCGCTGATCCTCGGAGACGTTTAAACAAAAAAAAATATATGCAAAACCCTTATTATCATGCAACTGAATCGAAATTTCACTGTTTTTATTGCAAAATAAAAAATTTAGGTAGTGTCAATATTTATGGAAATAATCCTCGTCTTCATAACTATTACGAGATATTTTTACTTGTGGTTATTTATATTCCAACTGCTGTTCTCTTGATGTCCTTGTACTTTTGAAATTAATTTGCCAATCATTCTAATCGTTGATTGTTTGGTCGTTTCCTAAAGCCGCACTTTTTCCAGGTAAACTCACTAAGATTTCAGCAAATATTTTTATATTTTTCATGTGCTGTCGTCTAAATTTCTGTGAAAGTGTCTTCAACTCGAAAAATGTTTCTAATAGTACTCAAGATCGTTGTATAAGAGGATTTTACACATAGTTCTCTTTTCAACTCATTATTTACTTTAGACTTATTTATTTTCGAAATTTATTTATTTGTAAATTGGAATTTTGTAACTGGTCTGAAGATTGGTAGAAAAACGTTCATATCCCTTTTTATATTTTTACTTAGCATTTTCATTCTCAAATTTTCTTCTTATTGGGTCTTTTTTGTTCCAAGCTGCAGCACGAAATACGCGTCTACTCAAACCATCTTTTCAAAATCTTTGACTATGTTCTTGCGACTTCCTACTGATTTTTTTCTTTAGTATCTCATTCTGTATGCGTCTTTAACTCAACTTCACTTTGGTAACACTGTGTTCTGTTGCGCTTTTCAGTTGATGCCGCTCTGTGAGTTAGAGTTAGTGAGTTATAATTCATCGCGCCTCACTGCGCCGCACCTCGACTTGAAGTCAGAACTTTAAAGGGACATTTTTAATTAGTTGAAATTTCGTTGGCTTCTATAATCGCTCGGAAGTTGAGCAACAGTTTCATTTTTAAGTGATTTCTTCGCGGATTTTTTGTTTAGAAAAATGTTAAGAAAAACCAAAATTAATTCGGTTATTAATTTTAGTTTTGGCGTTGTGTATTAATTACCTACTGCAGTTGAATGAAATTCAGACAAACATAAATGGCTCTAAACTAAAAATGAAATTAAAGAAAGATCGGCGCTTGGATCGTATTTCGTTTAGTTGTTGTTGACTTTCGTTCAGTTGGAAAAAAAAAAAAAGTTCTTTGGAAATATTGCAGCAATACGAACAGGCACTTCCTACAAAAATGTCAACAATACACAAACTGAAATCCAAAGAGCGGATCAATCAATCATCGAAAAGGCGACCACGCAAATTATTATATAATCATGTTTATTCTGTTTTTCTGTGTCGTTTTTTGGAAAAGGTGTATGGATATTCAGTTTGCTACGGACAGGATAATCCTCTGTGTCGTGTCAGTTGCGTTCACATCATAGTTTGTGAAAGTTTAGTAAACTTTTAGAGTATTTATGGGTAGAAAATGGAGGAAGGGGCGCTAGCTTGCATAAAGCTGGTTAGAATGACCTCTAATATATAAATCGTTTAGCTTGAACTGAGATTTTCCGACAAGCAATTGAAGGTTTAAGAATTCTTCTTATTTCTCTCTCTGCGCTTTGCTGGTTTCAAATAAGTTTGGCTTTGGACAGATTTCCGGCCGTACTAAACACATTTTCTTTTTTTAAGCTTAGCATTACTTTGACCCTGGTTGCTATTTACATGTAGAACTTTTTGTCATCAACTGACTAGTAGGGTGGATTTCGTATCGATTGATTCTTTCGTAGTTAATTTATAAACCTTAGCAAGATTTTGGGGGGCTTTTGTATTTTTTTATCAAGCTCATCTGAAGCTTTTTTAAAGATTTGGGTTCCAGTACAAGTAAGTAAGTAATACAAGAAGCATCAGCTTACTGATCAGTGTGAATTTGGTTCCGCTTAAACCGTTGATTCCTTCACAACTAATTTTTCAACTTTGGGAATCATTTGGGCGGCTTTGTATTTTTACATCAAGCTCATCTTGTCTCCAAAGAACCGTTTCAGATATACTGATATAAAAATCTAAAGTGTTTTAAATTTGCCTGTTTTCTGTTAATTGCAAAATCGACTGAAACTTAACGCCGCCTTTTTCGACGTTGCTCAAGAACTATTTGAGTCAATCTTTCAAGTTTCTACTGGCTTTACTTTGGACTTCTTGCGTTTGATACGAAAACCGAGCCAAAACCTCTCAAAGTAAAAAAATTCATTTTAAAGAAACGATATTTTGGAATAGAGCAAAATTCGAAGCACCCATTCATTGATGTTTTGTCTATCGAATCGCGGGACAGAAGCTGCGATTTAATGACCAGTTCTGCCAAGAGAAACCTTAGAAGAGCATGGCGTTTGTCCGTCACCACATATTTTACAAGCAAAATTACCAAATGGGTGACTACATCGCAACTGTGCCTGTGCGTTGGGTTGGCGCAAGACATTTCGACAACACTGTGCCAACTCCTGTGCAATACCGTGGCAAATTAACTGAGTTTTACTACTACTACCTACTTTCTCCAAGGCTAAAGGCTTCACCGCTTAAAACTGTAAATTTCTGTCGGAGCAAATATTACTGATTTGATGGCTTTCAGTTAATGTTTGCAGGAAAGTTTTATTTCCTAATTCTCGTTCAAAGATTTACTCAAAATGTTCACTTTCATCACACAGGAATTGGGGTCGAATATCTAACAAAGAAGGATGCGGAATATTTTCTGTAGGCTTTAAAAAATTGCCAAATTTTTTACTTAAACCATTTTTTACAAACAAATGTATGAACTATTGGCTCAGAACACCTCAGAGGTTTACAAGCAAAGTGCACTTTTCAGTTGATTGTTTCAAGTTATTGTTTGCCAACGCCGAAGCATAAATAATGTATACAAGCGGATTTATCGCGCACTTCCCTTTTGAGTGGTTCATTTTAAGTTGAAAATTATTCATACATTTTGACTGTATATGTCAAAAGAAGGTAAAATTAAGCTAACTCTAAGCAGCAAGGAATAATTCTTAGATTCTAATCTTAAACTTTTAAACTTTTTTTTACAATTTTATGGATAATTTGCAATATTTTACTGGCGTCCAGAAGTGAGCTGCTAATTTCTGGATCTTCCTGTATAAACTGCAAAAATTTCTTTTTGATTCAATTTGGCTTAAAAGTTTGAAAGTATTAAGAGCTCGA